AAGATTTGGTGCTAAATTAGAGTAACAAAAAAATAAAATTTTTCATCAAATTTAAATTTAATAAACATTTATTAGTGAGCAATTAGAGATGCTCTAATATAGACTGAACCTAATTCAGATTTCTTGTAGAAATGGCTTTAAATTGGCTAGAGCAAACTGAAGTCATTTGAAATGGACCTGAAATTGTGCTTTACTTGTTTTCCCTTGAACATTTTGCCTTTATTTGATTAGCAGAATTAATAGTCGGGAGATTAAAAGTTCATAAAATTAGTGAAAGATCAGCTATCAAGTTAGATTAACAATATAAATATCGTTCTCTTGTCTACGTTTTATTTGCAATGGATATTAAAATATATGATCCTAATTAGATGTTTATTTTGCATTATCAAGTATATGATTAAAAAATTCTTCAAATTTTATTGGATATAATATCTATCTGAACCTAATCAAAATAACAAAATAAAGAAAGAAAATTTAGCCAAAACCCTTTCATTGGACCATTGTTTGGTAAAAATGACAATTCAATTTATTTTGCTTCATAAACCCCTTAAGAAAGAGACACATAATTGAGTAAGGACAAAGTAAAATATCATTTTTTTTGAGACAATATTATTAGAATAACATGTTACTGTGAACCAGAGTAATATATTATTATTTACATCAATTTCAATGGTAATAATAACTTTTTTAAAAAAAAATCATAGTCAATATGGATCTTATTTGATAGATTTTGATAAAATAATTCTAAAAATACTATTTTTATTAAATATTTAGATCAAAAGTTATATTATTTTAAAATTTAATATTTTGGTAATAATGATATGTACTAGACTTTTCAAGAAAAACTTTTTGTATTTGTCTTTAATGCATTAAAATTTTATTATGAGGAGGTTATGACCAAATCCCTCAACAATAAAATGTGAATATCATAAAATAATAATTTTAATTAAGGTAAATTACAAATATGCCACCGAGGTTTGATTAAAATAAATCACCTTGTGGTTCTGAAAATTACATTTCACATTTGAGATTTATAATTTCATAACAAATTGTCCCTTTTCTTAATAAATCATCAAGTCAATTAACTGTTTTTAATGATGTTAGAAATACGTTTCAATTAATAATTTAGGTAATTTTATTATTGTATACAAGAACAATTATGAATTTTATTTTTTTAGTTAATTCTGATAAATAAAAAATTCTAACAAAGAGATATTTGTAATTTTTTAAATTACAGGGAGCAATCTGTATTTTAAACAAATTTCAATATTTATAATTTATCCCTAATCAAATAGTTTGTTTCAAAAAATCTATTCGGGATTATTGTTTGGACTATTTCAGGTTATTGTAGTAACTTTTTGTTTAAAACAATAAAATGTGAATATCATAAAATAATAATTTAAATTGTTTGTTATAGTTGACCTAATCAAATAGTTCCTTGTATGGGAACATATTTTTTTAGTAATTTTTTAATTAAAATATGATGTAAAATAATTAGTATGTTTGTGATGTTTTTTGATTTTTTATTAAAATATATATAAAAAGTAGAGAGAAAATGAAGAATCTTTGACTTTTTGATATAAATTATTGACTTTATAATTTTTTTAATGACTTTTTAACTTTTAGGTTAAAAAGTGATTTTGCCAAATGAGATCTCAGTTTGGGGTTATTTTTTGCACTATTTCAAGCTATTGTAATAACTTTTTGTTTCAAACAAGCTATTTTAGTATTTTTTTTACTTTTTTAATTAAAATATGAGGTGAAAACTACTATATTTGGAATATTTTCTAGTTTTTTATTAAAAAAAAAATGTGTAAAAAATAAAGAAAAAACAAAAATTAAATTTTTTTTTGTATAATTTATTAATTATTTTTTTAATGACTTTTGAATTTTTAAACTAAAATTCGACACGAGGCCTAAAGTCTTATCTGAACGGGTTCACCGAACTTCTTGGGCTTTCTTCTTTGTCCGTAGAAGTAACGGACTTGGGCCATATGAGTTAGGCTGACCAAAATCAGCCTTATCCACTTTAAATATTTTGAACGTAGCACATAGCTAACAAAGAATATCACGCAAATATTGATGACAATATTGAATAATCCTATAGAAACTAATATTTTGATTGATTTAACTCACTTTTCAGAAAATTAATTTTATTTATTTATTTTTTATTTATTTTTTGTTTTTATTGATTTTTTAAAATATTATATGCACTTTTTTTTATTATTTTTTAGATATACTTAAAAAGAATGATATTTATGAAAAAATTTAAAAAATTCACCAAGTAAAAAAGATAAAAAAATATTAAAATTTTGTATTTTATTGTATTCAATAAATTTTGTAAAGATTGTTATACAAATTTTATACTTTTTAAGTAAATCAAGATTAAGTGGTTTTAAAAAGTCAAAAAATAATTAAAATATTTTAAAAATCATTAAAAACACAAAAATACAAATTAAAAAGTTGTTTTTGAATAAGGAAAAAAATTAATTTTAGTATCATTTTTAATGCATGTAACAGCTCTATAATGTAACATCATGTGTTTGATTTTTATTTTTACGTCTAATATTTGATAGTTTATAAGTTAATTTATGTTTTAATTGAGTTTGCAGAAAGGATTTGGGGGAGGTGTTGTTTACGAAAGACACTAAAAATTAGAAGTTATTTGCTCCCTGAATGGATGGACTTTTTAGAAAAATGTTTGGGGGTCCTAATTCTGTGGCTCAAATGTGGCTCAAATGGCCAAAACGACGTCGTTTTGGCCATTTTGATGTTGTTTTGTACTCAAAACGACGTCGTTTTGGCCATTGCAAACACAATTTTACGATGTGTTTAGTTAAGAGATTTAAAAAAAAAAATTTGAAAAGGAAAAAAAAAAAAGTATGTAAAATTAGATAAAATATATATACATTTTATTTATATTTTACCTATTTTTTATTTTTTCCTTTTTCAAATTACTTTTTAAATTTTTCAACCAAATATAGGGCTAGTGTTTTTTAAAAATAAATTTAAATTAGAGATGCTCCAAGTTGCTAAATGGTCTCAGTTCGAGGGGGAGGGGAGGGGGGTGCGTCCAGTTCACAACTCCTGTTCACAACCCCAAGAACTATTTCCAACGCTTATTCAAATATTTTATTAAACTTGAATTTAATAAAAATATATTAACTTTTTTTTTAATTATAATCATTTCATCAAACTCATATTAAATGAAAGCAAGGGTATATTTTTTTTTTTTATCAAATTAAGGAAGTTTTTGTCATTTTATCAAATTTCATAATTGATCGTTAATAAACTTTTGATTGGATGATTGAATTTTAACCGGACAACCTATTTGTTAACAAAAAAATTTATCTTAAACCGGACGACCGATTGGATCTCACCATTAAAGTCTATCATATCGAATCAAATCAAAATTTTTATTAAAATTTAACTTAAATTTAATAAAAATTTTGAGTAGGGTTTGGAGATGTTCTAAGGGCAAGAAGTGGAGTGGAAGAAGCAATTACTCCAATTAAAGACAAAATAATAGCTTTTTTAAGGCTATTTTCAGAAGATGGTTATAATCAATTTTTTAGTTAAAAGCTACTTACAAGTAGTTTTTTTGTTAGAGAGAAAGTGAGTTATAATCCTGAAAGTGGTTATAACCCACTTCCCAAAAGAGGCCTTAATTTATAATTTTGAAAATACTATCAAATTACTATCAAATGTCTCACCTAAAACTCATATGAAATCTATCTAACATGTGTCTGATGAGTCCAGATCCTCTACTTGCTCTATCTCTTCGTCTCCGTAGTTGCATTCGTGGAAATGCACCATAGAATAATTCAACGGTCCAAATCATACTAGTTTTAAAAAGATACTATATTTTTTTTTATAAAAATAATCAAATCTGGATTGTTACATGGGGGTGTTTGTTTCAGATTTTCAAAGTTAACTTATGGCTTTTAACTTTGAAAAAATTATTTTGGACTATTTGATTAAACTTATTTCAAACAGCTTCTGATTCTAACAGTTTATTTTAACTCAAAAAAACTGATTCTGAGAAGCTGCTCACCTATAGGGGCGGCTCTGGCCTAAGGCCAGTAAGGCCTGGGCCTTAGGCCCCAAAATTTTGGCCTCGAAATAGGGCCCCAAAATTTGGTAAAATATTATAGGCTCAATGTTTTTTTTTTTGGTTTTAGGATCAATTTAAAGGGCCCCAAAATATTTATCGGGTCCATGTATAGTTTACCCATACTTATTTATAAGTGTAGTTTTTTTGTTTATATTTGTTAAAATGAAAATATATATATAAAAAAAAAATTTGGGCCCAAGAAAAATAATACATACAATATATGGGCTATATATATATATATATATATTTTTTTTTTTTAACCTTCTTTATCTATTAGATTTTAGTAGAATAAATAATTTTGTCCAAATTTTTTTACCTAAGTCTTTATCAGTTTTAATTGAACAATTTTTTCCTAATTTTTTTACCCTAATTTTGTTTCATTAAATTGTTTTGTTTATAATTTTAATGATTATATGTGCAAACAAATTTTTTTGTGGCTACAAATAAATAAAAAAGTTATAACTTATCGTTTATTCATAAATTTTTTTTTTCAATGTAAGAGGAGCCCCCATTTTCAAAGTTCGCTTTAGCCCCCCTAGCCAGCCCTGCTCATCCCTTACTTCTGATTATCAACTCTACTATGGATATATTAATTTATGGTTATACTCTTAGATTTTTTTATTTTTTAAAAAATAGAAAAAGACCCAAATGAATTATAGATTATTATTATTATTATTTTTATGAGAAATGTAGGCAAATAAAAAATAAAAATTAATTAAAAAAATTATTTCACAATTTACTTAACAAACACCACTCAACAACTTAAATTTATAATTCAACGACTACGAAATATATTAACAACTTCCGAATGAATTCATAATCTATAATTTATTAACCTATAATCTATAGGCTTAACGGGGCCATTATTTTAGATGCAAGGAGGAGAGAGCCAGTAGAGGATCCTAATTCGTGTCTGACACCCATATAAATTTTTTATTAGGCTCTACGGATAACGGGGGAGAGGTAGAATTTACGCAGAGAGTGCTTCGTCAGTATTCATGGTAAGAATGGTAGGAGCTTCGTCTATTCAGCCTCGAATCCTCTGTTCGTTTGTAGGAGGAGACTATAGCTTCATTCAATCGACCCGTCCTCTTCATCCTCTCTTCCGCTATAACCCAGGTAGCTCTCTCTCTCTCTCTCTCTCTCTCTCTCTCTCTCTCTTCTTCCTCTGCTTTCTTTATTTCTTTCTTCATTTCAATATGCATCTATACATACATATATACCTCTATATAAGCAATAATGCGATTATATTTCGGCAATATATTATCTGCCTGCTTTCACTTTCTTAACCCTTGGCACCTAAGAAAACTTTTTTTTGCAAGATAAGACTAACAAGATTTTTAGGGTTTATTAGTGTTTGTTGGTGAGAGGTTTGATGAGAAAACAAGAGAGAAATGGAAAGAGATAAATACTCTCATCAGTTGTTTCGATGATTGAGGAGATGAGAATCGGAGAGAAAAAGATTTCTCTTAAAACTTATGTTTTGTTTCTCACCAAAATTGTTGAAATTTGGTGAGCAAGTATAATTTATTTATTTATTTTCAAATTCCCACCTAAATGCAAAATATTTAATATAAAATGACACACATGTCTTGTTTTATTTATTGCTCATCCACACACAATCACCTAACTGAAAATCTATTCTTATCATTGTTTTCTTACTTAGTTTGCCAAACAGACTGTTACGCTGTGTTTGATTCATCTATTTGGATGGGGATTTGGAAAGGGAAAGGGAAATAGAAAATTTTTAAACTTATATTTCATTCACATTTCCCTTACCCTTTTCAAATCACTGCCTAAATTCAACCTATGGGTTTTGCTAGATAGTGTCCCTATGGCACTTTTTTTTTTGGCTGCTATTAAAATACTTACTTCCTTTTGTGTGTGTGTGTGTATTTCATTTGAAATGTGATGTCAAACAGTCTTCTAAAGAGCTGTGAATGATTATATACTTAGTTCAGTTCAGATTTGTAAAGAGCCGGGAGTTATTTTATGATTTAGCTAACTTAAAAGGGTTCGGAATATAGCTATGGCTTTCGATCTATACCTCTGGGTGGGTATGAAGTACATCTCTTATGTGAAGGCAAGTAGTAACCTAAGCTTTAAGAGCATGTTCATAAGAGGGCTTCAATGGTAGGATCTACGTGTGTGATATGATTAGGAATCGTAGCATCACTGGAGGTTGAATTCCAGCAACGTATGAGATAGGGGTTGTAGTATTGAAAAAAATAATGTGTTTAAGCAAGAGTGTGGATGTTTGAAATCCCTTAATCTATCAAGCAATGCATGTCACCCTATTAGTTGCAGCATAACATGACAATTTATAATTGTTCGTAACTGAGATCTGAATATGTACATGATGATTTATCTAGTCTAATTATTGGATGGATGATTGTTGAGCGTGCTTCCTTCGTCGTGGCAAGATTAGTTCAAGCTTTTGTATACTATGACCGATTTGTTGATGGATTGAGACAGTGTCACTTGCTATATAAGCTGATACTTGGTTGAGATAGAGAAAGCTATAACTTGTTGTGATGGATTTAAGTTTAATTTCAATTGGCCAAAGATGGAATGAAATTAGAAGTGATCTTGTGTCCAAATAATGCAAACTTCATGTGAGAAAGGGCCACATAAGCATAAGGTTTTGTGCCCATTCTCCTTTTGTACTTGAGCTACTTTCAAACCAAACTAAGAGTCTAGAACCCTGTTCACTGTGTTATATGCTAGTCCTTAGCACAAGCATAAGGCTGAATTTTGCCCATGTATTATTATCACTCATTTTTAAATGGATGTGCCTTATCCTGTACTACTCACCACTCAACAGATATTTTAATCTTAAATTGAAAAGTTTAAAATGTTTGTGCAGTAACTTGAAATTTGTAAGAGTTTTAAATTTTGTGCAATAAATTGAAATTTGTGAGACTATTCTCTCATATTTTAGCTTAGATAGACATACAAGCAAATTAAGGTGGAGTTAAGATTTTGAGTAGCCATCTCTCAATTAGGTAGGGTAATAAGGAGTTAATGAATTAGTTGAGCCAGGAAAAATACTAGTATTATATATATATATAGGGGGGGGGGGCGGGGTAGTGCATCACTAGTGTTTTTTATTTATTTTTTGAGCTGTGACACGATGCAAATTTACCATGTAGCATAACAAAGCTAGTGGATGGATGGCCTTACTAATGAGATTGTTATCTTCTCACCGTATAGAAATTTCCGCACAGGAACTTGGTAATAGCTCACTGATCACACTATGAGAACTGGGACAAATCTCATTATTAGCTTCACCACTTTGGGATTATACGAATACTAACTTCTTACATGATTCTGATCCACTGCTTGGTTAGAAGATTATGAAAATAGGAGGAATTCATCCTTGGACCAATAGCACATACGTGGCATCATATTGCCAAGGCTTATTATCCATTGTAAAAGAGATGACCTCACTTTTTTTTTTTAATTTTAAGATTCAGCCTTTAGGTATGCAAGATACATTGATAACCGTATTCATACTTCCGTTTTTGCGCACAGGAAGCAAACATGTGTTTATGCAATTGTCGAGAACATTTTCTGGCTTAACCAATCTCCTATTCAATAGAAGGTTTGTATTCAAGTTTTATTGTGTGTTTTGATATGTTACTCTTTTGGTGTCATCAGTTGTGAGATTATGTTTTCTGAAATCATCTTTATTTTGTTGTTTATAACAATCTCATAACATTGCTTCTCTGTTGAATGATCTAAATTTTTCCAAAATTTAGGAAAATGGCCACATTCCCAAAAAAAGTAATTTGGAATTTTGGATGGAGGGCAGAAAATATGTATGGTGATTTATAAACCATGGGCATGGGTATGCCAATATGAAGAAAACAAAGAAGATACGGGTATGGCCCGGTTATGTTCATAAAAATATATTTTGTATAATTTGTAGTAGCGCATGATATAAAACAATTAAAAAAATAAATGCAAAAAGTAGTTAAAGTAAGGTACAAACTAGAGTTTAATGCCAAAATTAGTCAACAATTAAACCTAAAAACTAGAGTTCATTACTAAAAGTATGGTCCTTTTAGTTGGTTTAATGTCATTACATTAGAGAAGCTCCCACCAAAGTTTAATTCTAAAAGCAAGCTAAGTATAAAAGAAATTCCTATGAAGCTAAGAATCTTCACTTTCATCAACTTCATGTTAGAATATCATAGCTTAGAAATTTGCAGATATGCCCTTCATTTTGTTTTATTTAAAAATAGACACAATATGTTTATTCTAGTATCCTTATATTTTTAAGAAAATCGCATTTAAGCCTCTCTGTACCCGAGCCGTACCCAACCATAATTTTTTTTAGAAGTGAATATGTATTTCTCTTACCTTGTATACATGCAGTTGTACCCAATCCGTACATGTACCGAATATGTACCTAATATGAGTATAGCTTCATTTTTGGAGTATCCATGCTTCATATATGGTGATAGAATTGTATATTGTAATAATTCATCTATATATAATATATCTATATTTTGGACAACATATCTGTTTGAAACTGAATTTCACCAAGATTTTGCGAGTATTGCCCAAAATTTTGCCACCATGAACCTATGACAGATTATATGGATGGTGAATACTTCTTGGTTGATTTTTCTCAGCATATTTCTGGGACTTTATAGACTTTGATTTTCAGCCCATTGCATTATCAACTTTGAGCTTATTGCTTATGTATCAGCGGCTGATTTTCAATTGAAATTAGCAGAAATCTTGATGAATTGCCAGGCAGCAAGCGTAGAAGTCTGAGGCCAGGAAAAGTGTCTCCTCATCGACCTGTTCCAGATGACATACCACAGCCTCCTTATGTCAAATCTCGAAAACCACCTGGAATTGCTAGTGGACCTGAAGTGCACAATCAGAAGGGGATAGATTGCATGAGAGCTTCTGGAAGGCTTGCTGCACAAGTTCTTGAATATGCTGGGACTTTAGTCAAGGTGACATTTTAATCTTTTTCCCTAGTTACTCCTGTTAAAGATTTTTTCCCCTCCCCTGGTTGTTTGCTTCCACTTCAATTAAGGATCATGAGGTGGCCATGGCTTGGAGCAGTGTTGTAAAAATATATGTATTATTGATTGATATCTGATTGATGTTGTACAAGATTTATTAATTACAATTCCTATACAATCTATATATAGAAGAAAATGTGGTAGTAGGTGTAGTGGAGGTGATAGTGGGTTAGGTGAAGGTGTAGTGGAGGTGATAGTGGGTTAGGTGAAGTGGAGTGTGTGGTGAAGTGGAGGTAGGTGAAGTGGAGTGTGTAGTGGAGTAGGTGAAGGTAAAGATGGGAAATTCTAACAAGTGTTAAAAAGTTCCACTTTATGGAATAAGGTCAAAGGTTAGGTTTGTCTCTTGTCATGGGTGACTTTTAAGGTGGCCATTCTACTAGTCTTTGCATTAATGTAAACTTTTGCAGTAAAATATCCATTGTTAATTTGGCCTACTTTTCTTTTTATTATTTTTTGCACGGATCAGCCTACATTTTGGGTTCTGAAATTTGAATGAACTATACTTTGACTGGCCTTCTTGGCTATCCTTCTTGGCCATTGGATAACTGGTTAAGTATTCATTAGTTGGCAAGCTACTTGTATGATACTATTAAGCTGCTGCAGTCTAGCAACAAGTTGCGTGTGAAAGAACAAGAAATAGATTGTATATTTGTATGCATCAGCAGGAGCCCGGTAGTTTTTTTATCCAAAGATATTAACTGTTGCTTCTATTGGCAGCCAGGCATAACTACAGACGAAATTGATCAAGCAGTTCACCAAATGATTATTGACAATGGAGCATATCCTTCGCCTCTTGGCTATGGTGGGTTTCCAAAGAGTGTCTGCACATCAGTGAATGAATGCATTTGCCATGGAATACCAGATTCCCGCGCACTTGAGGTTTGTCTTATTGAAGTACTCCAATTACTTTATCCTATTATACCAAGTTATCAAATTTTTGTATCAAAAAGCTCATTTATATATGTTGACATTTGCAGGATGGTGATATTATCAATATTGATGTCACCGTTTATTTAAATGTAAGCAGTTCTATTCCTTTTGCCTTGTATTCATTTACACTCCCTGCCTTTTTCCCTTTGCCTTTAGCCTGGGCTATGGTGGGTCCTATTATACCAAGTGAATAACCCTAGTAACTTGTAATGTTTTATACATGTTGAATCACGAATGACACTTCTGAACTATAGATTTTTCTTTGTGCGAAGTGAAATTATCCTAAAACAGTTGCTGGCATTTTCACTTTCCATTATACATGGGGAATGTAGTGGTGTTTAATACTGAGACTCATTGCTTTAGTTGTTTTCATGTTTATTATATATTTATCTTTTTTTTTTTGGCTATATTAACTAATGCTGTTTAATAAATATTCTGTGTCTTGCTATGTCTAAGATTTAGTGTCCATTCATGGATCCTGTATGTAATTCACAGGGTTATCATGGTGACACATCTGCAACTTTCTTTTGTGGAGATGTTGATGACGAAGCCAAAAACTTGGTACAGGTATAGTTTTCTGGAATCATAAGCTAAGTATAGGTCTATATATCACAATTTTATCCTTCCTAGTCAATGACTCTTTTCATACGATTTTCTTCCTTTATTGGTTTATGGCGGGACTAGTTTTTTTCCATGATTTGTTAAATGTTAGTAAGCTTCCATTGGTTCTAAATGATCAAAATTATATCATTGACGACTTATTTAATGAAATAAAAATTGCCTAACCTGTTAAATAAAAAGATGGTTGTTATTTTATTACCTTTAAAGATTTAATGAGCTGGGGGTGGTTTTTAATGTGCTTGGGAATCCACGTGGGCATGGGCTTTACTTGACAACCTTGACGTGCTAAATTGGGGCTTAGTTTAGGCTCTTTATTGTAATTTTTTATTTATTAGGAACTTTATAGAGGACCTAATTAAGAATAAAAAAAAATCATTTCAGTGTGTTATTTTGGTTGGCATGGAAATGAAAATATTGGTGAAATCGTAAAGTTAGTAGGAATGAAAAAAAGAATTAGAGATACATGGAACTTAGAACCTATCTATACGTGTAAAAGCTGAATAATTAAATAATTGGACGCATTTTAGGTTTATCCATTCATGCACATAATGGACAAGTGTAGAATAGTAAGGAATGTGTTGATGTGAACCAAAATTTGGCAAGTACTGTCAACTAAATCAATGTTCAAATGCAAGTTTATATGATTTTAAAGGTGTGGAATATCCCAAGAAAGTTGCCAAAAATTATAATAAAACGACAACAATAACTAAATTAAACATGAGTGCACCCAGTACCTGTCCTTGAATGATATCAAAGATGCTGCTTCAGCTGCTGTCCTTGAATGACATCCAAGATATTGCTAGAGCAGCTTGAGCTACTAAAAGAAGTAGATGCCCCAAAATTTGTTTGAGATACTTCTTTTAAGAAGCTGGTTTACTGTCTCAATGTAATTAGTATTACTTTCATCTTATTAATGAGGTTTCCATTTGGGATCTTAAAAAGAAATGCCAAAGGAAGAAAACAACTTAAATTTGAATGGAATGCTACACAAATTTTCAATTAAAGACAATCCATGATTGAAGAGGACTCAAAAAGCCTGTTTCAAAGGATTATTTAAATTGTACTTGTTTTGCAGAGCTAATTGCATAACTAGTAACAACATAACTTAGTTGGCTTGGATATTGATGCTGTAGCATTACTTAAAATGCTAAAATCTCAGATAGGGAATTGGACTGTTGGTTTGTCAATCTTTTAAGTGTCCCAGTAATTGTTGTTGCCATTTGCTTCTATTATTCATTACCTTTCATGTAATCTCCCTTGTGAAAAGCTTAATTATGCTTCATGGTAATTATCTTTTGCATTCTTGCTTTAGGTTACAAAAGAATGCCTAGACAAGGCAATATCAATATGTGCACCGGGAGTGGAGTACAAGAAAATTGGCAAAATAATACAGTAAGGCACCTGCTATATTCTTTAGTTCCTGTTTGTTTCCCTTGATTGAAAGACTATGCAAGCACATCAATAATTCTGTATTTGATGTTTTGAGACTAATACAAGTTCTTTCTGGTAATTTTTGGTATCCAGTGCCATTGGGTTACTTTGCGAGCTAGTTTCTAGAGCTATTAAAGTTTAATCTTTTTAGACCTGAGACTGCTAATACATTCATATGCAGCTGTCTCAAACGTTATCTGCTGGATATTGACTATATCTGGGTTTTACTGCAGGCTACTTGAAAGTTCTTCTGATTGTTTTTTTTTGATATTGAAAAGATTACGTTTCTATTGGTTGATGGAGGCATCAAGGAATTTTAGTTTAATGAAAATCTGATCTCTTAAGTCCTGATTTATAATGACTAATTATTGCTTTCTTTTGAAGGGATCATGCAGATAGACATCGCTATGGTGTTGTGCAACAGTTTGTTGGTCATGGAGTGGGGCGTGTTTTCCATGCTGATCCAGTTATTCTTCACTACAGTAATTCTTTTTAGCTACCGGATTTTTACATGAATTGCATGCACACTTCCTTAAAGTTGAACTGCTTATATTTGACATAACATTTTTCTTCTACCAGGGAACAATGAACATGGACGGATGATGTTGAATCAGACCTTCACAATTGGTAAAAAGAATTATCACTGCATTTTAACATTGGCCTTTTTTCTTTTTTGCCAACATATAGCAAATTGAAGCAAGTAAAGAAAGCCTAATAGAAATTATTTTGGGAAGTGTGGTATGTGCAGAACAAAAAACATTGGTTTGCAAGCGCTCATTGCCCCAGTAATGTGAAGGGTCAAAGAATTTATTACATGAATTGTTTTCTTCTTTGTGTGTGTTTGTTTTCTTTTTCTTGTGGAAAGATGAAAAAAAAAATATTTATTATCCGAAGAATATACGAGCTTGAACATCCTTCTCATGAAACATTTCAAGAAAGACTTTGGAGTTGTTTTCTCTTCATTTCCTTTAAATTTTAAACCATTGAAAAGATTGCTGAACTTGAATAAAATATTATGAATTTATATGTATGATTGCCAACACATATAGAGAAACAATACCTTATTATTCTACATGATTGCTAGCATCTTCCAAAATAGCAATATCTTGCTTTGGTGATTGAATTTATCTATTATCGTTTTCGACAGGAAGTTAATTTGTGCAATTAGCTTATTGCATCTATTAATGGCCTCTGATTGTAATAGTTGGATGATGCCTATCTCTGTTTTGTTTCTTATTCTGTTCTTGCATTTATCATCAATATTCACGACTGAACCGAACCATCTTTGTGTAATCAACTACTGATTTGTTTTTTTTTATGTTGTATTTGTGCAGAACCAATGCTGACAATAGGTAGCATAAATCCCATAATTTGGGATGATAATTGGACAGTTGTCACAGAGGATGGAAGTCTATCAGCGCAGTTTGAGCATACCATTTTAATAACTCCAGATGGTGCTGAGATACTAACCCAGTGTTAAACATGGCAGATTCTTCCCGATCCTTCCTTACACCCCCACAAAAAAATTATTTTATTTGTTTTTGTGTGTACATTTTTGTTTAGTGTGGTGTGCTGGGTGGAAGGAGGGTTAGACATGATTGGATGTTCCTCTCCCAAATATAACTCTTGAATTTGGATGAGGTGTTGTAAATTTTTTTTATTAATAATACGTTTGCTTCCTGCAAATCAGCGTGTTTGGTTTGAGTTTTTTGAATTTAGTTTTTTAAAAATTGAATTTTTTTATTTTTTGTGTTTTTTTGTTTTTAGTGAATATTTTTAAATTTTTTAAATTTTAAATATTTTTTTTTATCTTTTTAGATGCACCTTATTTAGATGTATCTAAAAAGTAAAAAATTTGTGATAAAATATTTTAAAAAATTAATAAATACATAAAAATATAAAAAATATATTGAATTTTCGTTCTTTTTTTTTTTGTATTTTTGGTATTTAGTGAATTTTTAAAAAGTTTTTTTCATAATTTTTTTAATTTTTAAGTATATTTATGTTAGGTATATCTAAAAATTAAAAAAATTGTTTAAAATATTAAAAAAAAAATTCAATAAAAATAAAAAAGCACGAAAAATAAAAAATATAATTTTTTGAAAATTATTTTGAGAAAAATAAAATCAAACAAGCTGATTGATTTTTTTTTGAGAAAAAGTTATAATTGCTTTTATAAAGTAAATATCATTAAAAAAAATAAAAAGGCCCCAAATAATATTGATTCATGTTGTTTTGTCACACGCCTGCCTTTCCTTGCATGGTTAGTTTCCCTTGTCCAAAGTCACATCATTGTGATGCAAACAAAATACACTATATAAATACTATACTCATGTACATAAAAATTTAGCGAGCCAAATTTATTTGGGCTTTACTCCAGTCAGTAATCTGACTGTTGGGCCTGTGAGAGTTTATTATGGGTCTCGTTTTGATAATTTGAATTATTTAATATGTAGAATTTGTTTAGTATTATATGTTTGTAAAAAATAACGTTGATCGGATATTGATAGTTATCTCATCATATCAGATTTTTGTCAATCGTTTATTTTTTTACCGTTAATTTTTTTTATACAAAACTAATTTAATTATGTAATTATCGATATTCGATCAACGTGATTTTTTTATAGGCATATAGTATTCGACGAGTTCTACACATTAACGGTTTAGATTATCGAAACAGGATCTGTGATGACCCCCATAGGCCCAACAATACCTTCCAATCGAATCACCAACGGGAGAGAAGTAAGCCGCTTATAAAAAATAATAAAGGCAAAATTTATATAAAAATTAATTTAAGTTTTGCAAAGTTATTTTTTTGTCAAATTTTCTTACAATAATTTACATTTTTCACAAATCAGAACTCTTGATTATCGAAACAGGATCTGTGATGACCCCCATAGGCTCAACAATACCTTCCAATCGAATCACCGACGGGAGAGAAGTAAGCCGCTTATAAAAAATAATAAAGGCAAAATTTATATAAAAATTAATTTAAGTTTTGCAAAGTTATTTTTTTGTCAAATTTTCTTACAATAATTTACATTTTTCACAAATCAGAACTCTTATTTAGAATTTTTAAAATTACAGAAAATTTTAGATAATTGCACCAATAATAAGAATTTATCTATTTAAAAAAAAACAGTGAAAAAAATGATATTCATCTAGATACATTCGAGCAAGTAGAAATTAATTGGTGATAAAGTAACAAATTTTTATTTTTATTTTCGGTTCTGATTGGTAGCTCGAATAACACGGCTCGAAATCTGGCTCGACACCAAAACGACGTCGTTTTGGTGTCGAGTTTTTTTTTTCTTTCTTTCTTCCCTGGTTTTGTTGCAGAACGAAGAAGAAGAAGAAGAAGAAGAAGAAGAAGAAGAAGGGAGAAGAAGAGAAGGGAGAGGGAGGAGGAGGAGGAGTGGAGGAGGAGGGGAGGCTGGGCAGACGACGGTGGTGCTGCAACGTCGGCGGGGCTAGGCAGACGACCGGGGCTGGGCGAGGCGACGGTCTGCTGCGACGATCGGCTGCGACAGTGGCGGTGGCGGTGGCTCTGCTTCTCCTCTGCTTCTTCCCTTCCTCCTCTCTTCTCTCCCTCTTTCTCCTCTGTTTCCTCTCTTCTCTCACTCTTTCTCCATTTTGAGCCGTTTCAAGCCTCTAAAAATCGAGTTACGAGGCATTTTCCTTTTATTTTTTTTAGCTCTTAATGATGTTTATGGCTTCTATACACATCTAGTTAAACCTAATGGACACGTGGCAGTCATGTGACCGTCCAATCTAACTTAACCAGCGGTAGCCGTCTTTCTTGCACTCACCGAATCCTGTCCCCCATAAATCAACCACGCCATCCCTTCCCTTCCCTTCCCTTCCCTTCCCCCTTTTGTTTTCTCTTTCCACTTATTTTCCAAATCCAAACCAAACTCGCGAACGATTAAAAAGAAAGAAGGAAGATTTTCTCAAGAAAATATGGAATCGATGCCTGTGAATTGGGAAGCTCTCGACGCTCTAGTCATTGATTTCGCCAAATCTGAGAACTTAATCGAAGACTCTGCAGTTTCTTCATCATCACCATCATCGTCGTCTCCATCTTCTTCACCTTCGTCTTTCTCTTACCATTCGCGATTGCTCATTCGCCAGATCAGACGGTCATTAGAGGTCGGTGACATTGACGTCGCCATAGATCTTCTGCGAGTTCACGCACCGTTAATCCTTGACGATCACCGACTTCTCTTCCGATTACAGAAGCAGGTAACTCTAATTCTTCGTTTTGTTTGGTGAGAAAGAAAGGAGAAGAAAATGAAATCCCTAGACTTGTGCCTTTTTTGACGTTTCTCTTAGAATACCTAACTTGGAAGCTTAAACAATGGATTAAGGCTCAGTTAAATGATTTCTAATTTTATGTTCTTGATATTTTGTAAGATTTGATTTGTTAATTAAACTGAACTTGTTTGCAAAGAAATTTATTGAGCTATTGAGGAGAGGAACTGCGGAGGATCGTGATTCTGCAATCAATTGCTTGCGGACAGCACTTGCACCTTGTGCCCTTGATGCCTATCCGGTATGCTCGAATTTGTTTCTTTTCCACATTCCTGGACTTGCTTGCCTTACTTCCGTCTTCTTAGTATGCCCGTTGTTACTGATTCAATGAACAATACGCATATTCACCATAAGTTTTTCTTATATAAGCCCAAGGGCTTCGCCTGCTGGATGAGGCTTGGGACCTGGGGTTTGCTTCCTCCAAGGTCTTAGGTTCAACTCCTCTTGCCAGCAGAAACTCTTGGAACCACGGATCACAGGACTTAAAACCTTGTTTTGAAAGCCTTGTTCAGGCTGGAGGGACTTAGTATGGTGCGTGAAAGTTGGCCCAAAATGTCTTACATAACAAACAAAAAAAAATTCTTATATAAATTATTTTTATGATATAAATACTTGATTTTGAATGGGCACCTTATGGTATGCTGACCCAGCAGTAAAACGAAAGAAGGCTACATATCTTTGTAGTAGATTGGAAGTTCTCGAATCCACGAGAGGAAGCCTTGAATCCACAAGAAGTATAAAACTATGTAATATTATTAAACTGAGATAGTCCAATGAGGGTTTACATCCCTATAGATAACAGTAATCCTATTTCTAACAAGACAAAATAATAAAGAAAAATGAAAAAGTTATTAAAAATTTTGAGTTAAGCTCAAATTTGAGAAAATATAAAGTTTTAGAAATATATTGAAACAAACTACATCAGAAACAAAACTTCTAAATAAAATTATAACTATATTAAGACTTTATAAAATATGCAAAAACGCAACCTTGTCCCAAAAATGACTTAGATCACAGCGTAGCTATGAGTTTTGATCATTGCGCCATTTTTAATTGAACATGGGTGTTTTTCCTGAATCCAACAAGTCCTATGCCATACGCTTCCCATTGTTTGGATAATTTAGGGGAGAAAAGAGACGGGGAAAAGAGTGTAATGCTTCCCTTTTGTTTGGGAAATATAGAGGAGAGAAGAAAAGTGATTGACGTTTTATTATGTTATTAATAGGGGTATAAAAAGAACTTTCTGCAAAAAAAAATTGGACAATAACTAGTAGTTACTAACTCCCATTCTCTTCCACTAATAGAGGGATTAAAAAAGTGGGCTTCAAGAGATCATGGTTTCTCTTGATTTCTTTTCATGTTTCTCTGTTTCTCTCAAGCTACACAAACAAAGCAAGTGATTAGGGAGAAGCAAGTCCGTTTTCTTTTCTTTTAAAGCACCCATTTTAAATGGATTGTAGTAAGAAGTGTTATTTGACGTGCAATTCAAAAACTTAAAAACATGAGTATAAGGTAAGTGATTTTCAAGTATTTTGGTATTGCTTAAGAATATATGTTTTTTTGTTTTTTTTTGTGTGGATAATTAATCAAACTTTATTGAAAAAGTATCAACATGATGCAAATAATACAAAAAAACGGCCTCAAAAGCGCAACCAAACTAGCAAATCAAATCCTCTACAAAATCTACAAAGGCCAACACATCCAGATCTACTAAACCTGTCACCCAACTATACAATACTATAAGAAGCCTCCTCTTTAACCAAGGGATGGAGTGAGCCACCCCTTGAAACACCTGCCTATTGCACTCCAGCCAAATCAACCACATCAAACAGTGCGAAGCAAGCATCCAAGCCTAGTATGACTCAAAACGATCCCATGCATAGTCTTGGACTGTCTTTGTGAAACTTAGTTAGGTATAAATTTTATAACCCTTATGCCCTTTGAATATTCCCTTCTAGGTGAATATTGATATTTTAAGTTACTTATGTGCTATATATGGTGTTCCGAAAGAAGATTCCTGGGAGCTGTAAATGTGAGGTTTTCACATGGTATCTTGATTTTTTGATTGCCCTCCTATTTCATTAAAAATCCACAAAATGTTGTTGGAAGTTCAATAAATTTTGGTCTTCTTTTGTTATTCTGGTACAATGTATTTTATTTATTGATTGATTTGTGTTAATAATTGTATATCTTTCTCTTTGTCCTGATGTGGGTTTTGACATTTTTGTGTTTGTTTCAAGGAAGCATATGAGGAGTTTAAGCATGTTCTTCTTGCCTTTATCTTTGACAAGGATGACCAGAACTCTCCAGTGGCAAATGAGGTGGGCTTCAATTTATGAGAGTGCTTACAAGCCAAGTTGATGTCAATTCATGATACCTTAGGAAATTCAAAATTTCTTTTGCAGGAATTTGTATACTGGTTTTTCTTTTTTGTTAAGTAAATGTAACTATTTCATTAATGGTGCTAACAATACAACAAAAACAAAATCTATGACTAAGTTAGCTTTCTTGTGAAGTGGTTATAGAGATTCCCAAAGGACATAGAAAAGACATAATGCTCATATTTGGCTGCTAAGTACCTCTCTTAAATATACTGCATTTAGAAAGCTATTATTTGATATAGAGACTTTCCAGCAAAATTTGCCCATGTATAACTTGATTAACTAAAATATGGTTTCCTTTTTGCTCCACATCTTTCACTTATATTGATATGATTCTAGAAAAGAGTTATATAATGTTCTTCTATTTGCTAAATTCATGGTTGGACGATGAATCTACCTATAAGAGTTTAGTATTTCATTTGGCGGAGGCGGATTTGGGTTTTCCCACCCAATTGAGAATATATTATGCATTGGTTTTACAAGATTTGGTTCAAATGATAAGGTTCAGGCTCTTTGGAGATGTGCGTTGTATGTGCCCCTTTTTTTTGGATCTTATGGCTAGAAAAGAATGCTATCACTCTGTTTGGTTGCAACTCATTTTTTGTTTTTTAATGAAAAATATGAAAAACTTGTTTGACAAATTGTTTCCAAAAACTGTTTTTGGGAATTTTTTTTCCAAAAAACAACTCACTTTTGTTTCCCAAAACACGAAAACATAGACAAAAACAAAAATAAAAAATGAAACAATTTTTTGGTATTTTCCACAAATCAAAAGACGAAAGCACTACCAAAGTGTATGATTTTTCTAGGAGAAAAGTGTTGAGAGCATATGGTGGGAAATTTGTTATTTGGCTTTTTTTTGGGATTTAGGGCCCCCCTACTTTTATAGGGATCACATTATTCTAGAGATTGGAGAGCTATTTGATGGCCTTTTTGTCCCTTCTCCTTGTAGTTGCTCACTATTTTGTTTTAATAAATTTCTTTTGTTGCCGATCCAAAAAAAAAAGAGGAGATAATATTACTTCTGAATTCATAGGTCACAATTGTTCTTCAGTATAATTATAAAGTGGTTTCTTACCAGTTGTCCAATGTTAGCCTTGAGATTTTTTTTGGATAATTAACAGTATGTACGTATATTAATCAAAAGGCACTTATATATCTACATGGAAATATAAATCCTCCAAAAATCTGTAACAGTTAAAAGGAAAAAGGAGACCCCAAAAATACGAGGATACTAACAATGCTCTTTTCAAGCAATGAACATGACACTCATCCCTTCAAATGACCTCATGTATCTCTCACATCAGGCGTAACGGAGTGGTCTCTCATGCATCCTTATCACCACCCCTCGGACAATCCCTGTTCTAGGAGGCAAGTTGGCCTCGTACTGACCTTAGCCTGTACTCCAAAGATTACCATACCTCAAACTTTTGTAACAATTGCCAATGCAAAAGAAGATGATTGAGACTTTCTTTTTTTGCACAACCAACACCAGTTCAACATGACTTTCCCACTCTTTCTCAAATTAGCAATCATCAAGATAGCTGGAGAAAGTTGCTTGAATTAGGAGTTGACAATTATGGTAGTTTTTGCACAGGAGTCCTGCATATTAGTTAATTGAGGATTGTGAAGCATCTACTGTTTAAAGGAAGCTTAAGGAGGATTTGTTTTAGGCTGAGATAGTTTGACCACATATCAATATAAAATCAGAAAGAAAATAATTGTTTTTTTCTGAGAATATCAGATCTGCATACTATTAGTTAGAATCCTGAGCTGAGTAGTAAACTATTTTGCCAGGAAAAACAACTAGCTATAACTTTTGTTTTGTTAAGAAGACAACAGTCTTTTTGACTTCCAGGTAGTTGGAGTGTTTGTAACATTCCTATATCAAACCTATGTTATATCATGGCCATCAAAATAAGGTTTTGATTTTGATAGAAGAGGATTATTACTCTTATCTTATGTGACTGGAAAGTTAGTTATACTTTGGTGGCATGCATACTGGCAAAAAGCTTTCTAAATTGTCTTGCAATTGTTGTGTTGTTTGAAATTGATGATGCTATATGTTCTTTTATGATATCCGTGGGCTTAATGTAATTTATTAACTTTAACTTAGTTTACTAAAAGTTTTGAGACGCAGAGAACGTTATTGTCTTTTTCATTTGATTGACATTAGCATCAGTGCATAACTTTAATTCGTTAAAGGGTCTTAATACATCACCTGGGTCAATACCTAGTTCTGTTTTACTATTCCATTTATACCTAATATGGCTGATTTTCATTGCTGAATCAAGTACTATCATGATAATGCTTTTACGGAGAATTTTTAATGAATTACTAAGATAAATATTTGAAGCAAGACCATTTGGGGAAATTTGGTGGCAAAAGAATCTGCTTAGACTCTTTTTAAATACTCGGAAATCCCTTTTCTTCTTTCCTGAACTGCAGCATAAGAAAATACAATTATTTTTTGCCTACTAAAATGAGAAAGTAACCTTTTCTGTGTGAGCATTTTTTTGATCTCTGGGTTCATGTTATATTTCTTATTTCAGCTGTTGGCTCAAATCAAGTTTCTCATTGCTTTCGGATTGATGTCCTGTGAAAATTATCTATTGCCCATATTTCATTGTTGATTTCTTCCAACTGTGTTATTGTTTTTTTCTTTTTGGTTTTCCTCGATTTATTAAATAACATGGTGACCTCTTTTTGCGGTTCACTTAAAAGTGCAGTTGGTTTGTGATGCGGAATATAAACAGCTCAAAGAAGAGTAAATTTAAAGAAGCTGTGATATTTGGAAATTGGAATGGTTTCAAATAGAAATCGATAGGAATAATACATAATCATGTTTCTAATATTATTAGAATTTTATTTTATGATTATTTTTGTGTTTCTAGGATTTTTAGGCGAGGGGTATTTTGGTAAATTTTATATTTGCCTACATGGGCTATAGGAGTCGCCTATGGGTCGTCTTGTGGGACAAGTTATTTAATTGAGTTTTATTTATGTTTCTTAGTTGGTCTTAAATTAGTTTTGGAAGTCTAAGATATTATAGTAGTTTTTTATTTTTTTATTTTAGTTGGTTTAGGAAATTTCTAAAGTCTATATAAAGCCATGTAATGCCTCTAATTCAATAGAGTTGATATTTTTATAAAAAATTAAAGAGCTTTGAAGCTTTTTTATGGATTGTGTGATGCAATCAAACCCTAGGTGCGATGCTTATGAAATCTAGGTGTGATGCTCAGACCTATCTTCTTCTTTTTCTTTCTTCTTCTTTTATGTTCAATTTGCTATTCTCGGATTACTATTTACAGCCCTCTAAAAGTGCATTTTTCAGCCTCAAAACGCCATCTAATCATCCTCAAATCAACTCTAATCCCTTCCCCTACCTATTAGCCTTCAGTTTACTCTTGAAGCCATAATTTACTCACTGTTTAGGCCATCAAATAACCTCTGTTTTGAAATTCCAGCGCTGTCCCTATTTGTCTTGCATCGATTTGGTATCAGAGCTTAAGGTTTCGCCATGATGTTTTCACATTGTGGGAGATGTTAAAATTGATGTATTATTGATTGATTTATGTTATATTACAATGATTCCTATATATAGAAGAGCGGATGTGGGAAGAGAATAGGTGAGTGTGTAGTAGGTATGGAGTAGGTGAGTGTAGTAGGTATGGAGTAGGTGAGGAGTAGGTGGAGAGTAGGTGAAGTAGGTGAGTGTGTAGTAGGTGGTAGTGGTAGGTGTGTAGTATGTGAATTTTAACAGCCCCCCGCAAACTCAAGGGGGATAGGAACTAACCAACTTGAGTTTGGAGAGAGTAACAAAACAAGAAAATACATAAAAATAAAAGAGGATAGGAGACACTGTATGGTCGTGTCAGACCATTGGTGAAGACACTGGATGGTGGTGTCATAACGTTGTAGAGGACACTGTATAGGGGTGTCATAACGGTGTAGAGGACACTGGATGGCGGTGTCAGACCGATGTAGAAGACAGTTTATGGGGTCATGTCGGACCGTTGTAGAAAAACAGTTTATGGGGTCATGTCGGACCGTTGTAGAAAAACAGTTTATGGGGTCATGTCGGACCGTTGTAGAAAAACAGTTTATGGGGTCATGTCGGACCGTTGTAGAAAAACAGTTTATGGGGTCATGTCGGACCGTTGTAGAAAAACAGTTTATGGGGTCATGTCGGACCGTTGTAGAAAAACAGTTTATGGGGTCATGTCGGACCGTTGTAGAAAAACAGTTTATGGGGTCATGTCGGACCGTTGTAGAAAAACAGTTTATGGGGTCATGTCGGACCGTTGTAGAAAAACAGTTTATGGGGTCATGTCGGACCGTTGTAGAAAAACAGTTTATGGGGTCATGTCGGACCGTTGTAGAAAAACAGTTTATGGGGTCATGTCGGACCGTTGTAGAAAAACAGTTTATGGGGTCATGTCGGACCGTTGTAGAAAAACAGTTTATGGGGTCATGTCGGACCGTTGTAGAAAAACAGTTTATGGGGTCATGTCGGACCGTTGTAGAAAAACAGTTTATGGGGTCATGTCGGACCGTTGTAGAAAAACAGTTTATGGGGTCATGTCGGACCGTTGTAGAAAAACAGTTTATGGGGTCATGTCGGACCGTTGTAGAAAAACAGTTTATGGGGTCATGTCGGACCGTTGTAGAAAAACAGTTTATGGGGTCATGTCGGACCGTTGTAGAAAAACAGTTTATGGGGTCATGTCGGACCGTTGTAGAAAAACAGTTTATGGGGTCATGTCGGACCGTTGTAGAAAAACAGTTTATGGGGTCATGTCGGACCGTTGTAGAAAAACAGTTTATGGGGTCATGTCGGACCGTTGTAGAAAAACAGTTTATGGGGTCATGTCGGACCGTTGTAGAAAAACAGTTTATGGGGTCATGTCGGACCGTTGTAGAAAAACAGTTTATGGGGTCATGTCGGACCGTTGTAGAAAAACAGTTTATGGGGTCATGTCGGACCGTTGTAGAAAAACAGTTTATGGGGTCATGTCGGACCGTTGTAGAAAAACAGTTTATGGGGTCATGTCGGACCGTTGTAGAAAAACAGTTTATGGGGTCATGTCGGACCGTTGTAGAAAAACAGTTTATGGGGTCATGTCGGACCGTTGTAGAAAAACAGTTTATGGGGTCATGTCGGACCGTTGTAGAAAAACAGTTTATGGGGTCATGTCGGACCGTTGTAGAAAAACAGTTTATGGGGTCATGTCGGACCGTTGTAGAAAAACAGTTTATGGGGTCATGTCGGACCGTTGTAGAAAAACAGTTTATGGGGTCATGTCGGACCGTTGTAGAAAAACAGTTTATGGGGTCATGTCGGACCGTTGTAGAAAAACAGTTTATGGGGTCATGTCGGACCGTTGTAGAAAAACAGTTTATGGGGTCATGTCGGACCGTTGTAGAAAAACAGTTTATGGGGTCATGTCGGACCGTTGTAGAAAAACAGTTTATGGGGTCATGTCGGACCGTTGTAGAAAAACAGTTTATGGGGTCATGTCGGACCGTTGTAGAAAAACAGTTTATGGGGTCATGTCGGACCGTTGTAGAAAAACAGTTTATGGGGTCATGTCGGACCGTTGTAGAAAAATGTGCATTGGGTGACCTTTCACAGTGGGTGGGTGACATGGAGAGAGAAAAACAACACACAACTGTTCCAGCAAAGGGATCTGTATGTACTCCTCGAGGGTCTACGAAGGTTGACCTTAGAGAAGGAGATGACTGCATTATGGAGATATTGGCGACACTTCAACCTTGTGGATGCCATCCCCAACCCATCTAAAGAACAACTAATGGATGTTGTCCAGAGGCATTTTATGTCACAGCAATTGGATGAGTTTGCCAAACATAAAACCAGCAAGAGAGAGGAGAGCAGTGATTCTGAATCAAAGTCAAACCCAAAACCAGAGCCGTACAATTGGCTGACGAATTTCCACAGGGATTTGATTGCAGGAGCGTTGATGGGAGGCGTGGTGCACACGATTACGGCCCCAATCGAGAGAACGAAGGTTATATTGCAGACCCAAGAGAGCAACATCAACATAGTCGCAGAGCCTCATCGGAAGTTCAAGGGCATGGTCGATTGCATAGTCCGTATGGTCAGAGAAGAAGGTGATTGCTGAGTACATATGGATTGTGGTGGTGCTGGCATGGACCTCAGAAGCAAAGCAAGGACTCTTGCTGGACCTGTGAGTGACCCCAAGAAGCTTCCAAAGTGGAATTATGAGGGATCTAGCACAGGACAAGCTCACACCTGGTGGTGAGCCAAGTCCAACAAACAAGAGGTTCAACTGCGAGAGGAGGGGCAGTGGTGGTGGACTCAAATATATTTCAAGGTATGTGTAGAAAATTCTGGCGGATTAGGTTGAGGTCCGGCGGACGGCCAAGGTGAGGTTGCCGCCCGCCGGTGAAGCGAAAAATACAAAGTTCTTAACCTTGCTCTGATACCATGTAGAAAATGCAATGTATAAAAAGAAATAGAGAAATGTATTATTGATTGATGTATTGTAAAACATGACACGTGTCGTGTAGTAGGTATGGAGTAGGTGAGTGTAGTAGGTATGGAGTAGGTGAGGAGTAGGTGGAGAGTAGGTGAAGTAGGTGAGTGTGTAGTAGATGGTAGTGGTAGGTGTGTAGTAGGTGAATTTTAACAGGAGATCCAACACAAGTGAATTGACTTGGGAAGAAGGTAAAGCGCTTCTTAGAGAACATATTCGTCTGGGAGATCTTCAAGATGATTTTCTTGATCAATTGTATGCTCTTAAGTAAGGTGATATGTGTGTGATTGAATATGCAAGAAAATACAAGAAATTATTTATCAAATTTGGAGTGGTAGAAAGTGAGCGGATGACTATTGCTCGTTTCAAAAGTGGATTGAGATTTGGAATTAAAACAGAGATGTCTCATGCATATTTAGAAGATCTCGAAGATGCTATTGAAACGACTATATAGTTTAAATTTTTTGTAAAATTTAAGGAGAAATCTACAGTTTTGCAGCGTGTGCATGATGGAAAGACTGTCCAACAAGAGAAATCAACAAAAACTCTTAAACCAAGGGCTAAAGTGCCACAAGAAGATGCAGCAAAACCAAATATTGTTTTTAGGGATGGAAATCGTACACAATTGAAGTTGCAAACCAATGAATATGTTCAGAATTTTCCTAAGATGACAGATGACCAAATTTTGAAGGATAACGAGGTACTTATTGATGATCCAAAAGCATCTCAAGAAGATCTAGTTATTACTCAAGTAAAGGCTAGAGTCGAAAACGAGGAATTGGTTGCTATGGAAGCTGTAGGGACTGAAGAATCAAAGCAACCAGCTGCCAGTGTTATGCAAAATATGCCTTTAATGGATGTCAAGGTTGAATTGCATGGCACCATTTTGATTGAGGAAAAGGCTGAGCATATGGAATCCATGATTATTGATACTAGAAAAAGCATTCAAATTGATTGCAAGCAGTACATTGCAACGCCAAAAGAGAAGGGAATGGATGGGTAGAATTTTGCAACTCTACACTTGAATCAATTTAAGGTTTCATCTTCTACTTCAATTGATTTTGTCATTCCAGAAAAATTTAGTTTTAGAGCTGAAAATATCTTGTTGCTTTCATTGCTAGCTCCAATGAAGAAGAAACGATGCTGCCAACTTGAAGGTTTTAACATAAAGCCGTTGATGCAATTCCGATGCTTGTGGATGCTTATACTTCAATACTACAAAACTCGAGGTTGAGTTTTTTTCCAACCAAGGAAGAATGATGCGAAATATAAACAGCTCAAAGAAGAGTAAATTTAAAGAAAAATTTGTATGGTTTCAAAGGGAAATCGATAGGAACCATATATAATCATGTTTCTAATATTATTATAATTTTATTTTATGATTATTTTTATGTTTCTAGGATTTTTAGGTGAGGGGTATTTTGGTAATTTTATATTTGCTTACATGACCTGTAGGAGTCACCCATGGGTCGTCTTGTGGGTCTAGTTATTTAATTGAGTTTTATTTATATTTCTTAGTTGGTCTTAAATTAGTTTTGGAAGTCTAAGATATTATAGTAGTTTCCCTTTTTTGATTCTAGTTGGTTTAGGAAATTTCTAAAATCTATATAGAGCCATGTAATGCCTCTAATTCAATAGAGTTGATATTTTTATAAAAAGTTAAAGAGTTTTGAAGCTTTTTTATGGATTGTGTGATGCAATCAAACCCTAGGTGTGATACCTATGGAATCTAGGTGTGATGCCTAGACCTGTCTTCTTTTTCTCCTTTCTTCTTCGTTCTCTTCCAAATCATCAGTATTAAGCTTTCCAATTTCATTTAAAAACTCATCTGCCTCAGCAACCTCTGGTGGTTCCTCTATTTCAGCATCAAGAAGTAAATTTGTTTTAGGGCATTGCCATGCCATGTGACCCTTTATACCACACTTAAAACAACCATCCTTGTTGTCCTTCCGATCATCACTTAAGGAAACTCTATTCTTGAAATCTGCAGCAGTATTGCCCTTAAATCTTGTGCAGGCACTGGTCTAACAGATCTGCCATGATCACTCAGTTTACGAAGGGCTGCCTCCCCAGCTTGATAAGTAAATTTCCTATTGAGGGATTGTTTCATATTCTTCTCAATTTTAAATGCCAACTGAAACGCATCATCAACGGTAAAGATTTAATAAGTCACCATGGCGTTGCAAATTTCATCTCTTAAACCCGATTTGAACCAAGAAAGTTGACATGGATCTTCAACACCCCTACATCGAATCTTTAGCTCCTAAAATTTATTCATGTACTCGACCACTGTCAAGTTTCCTTGTCTGAGATTAGTAAGCCGATCAAAGAGTTCATCTTGATAGTCATATGACAAGTACTTTTGTTTCATTCGCTATTTCATCTCCTCCCAATTAATAATGGGTCCTGCAATCCGGAGTTCATGTTCCACCCCAGACCACCAAATTTGGGCTTGACCTATAAGCTTCATTACAGCAAATCGAACTTTCCGATCATCTGACATATCAAACCAGTCAAAGTACATCTCCAATGCAGTAAGCCAATCCGAAAAAACTTGAGGGTCAATCCTACCATCAAAATCTAGAATGTCAACACGCACTTTCTTTGTTATATCTCCAGCGGTATCATATGGATCTTGCTTCGCATACCTTCCAAGCTCAACAACTTCATTGGCTATATCCAAAAGAGAAGCATGTAGCCTCTCTAAGGGACGCAATGCATTAGGGTTAGTCAGATCCTGTGGCACCAGAATCGTCTATTTCAGTTTCTTCCTCAACACCCTTTCCATGTGTTTTGCCCTATTGGCTAAAGAAGATTCAGAACAATTTGCAGCACTTTTACTTTTCTGAGGATTGGAGGCTTCACTCTCAAATATTTTTGCTTCCAATGCATCAACCCTTTCCATGATCATGTGTAGAAAATCATCTCGCTGTTTATCTGTGAGTTTGCCCCTAAAACTTCGACCGCTTCTAGTTGCCACAGGATCAATTTGCTATGAAGCTTCTTTATGGATTGTGTGATGCAATCAAACCTTAGGTGTGATGCTTATGGAATTTAAGTGTGATGCCTAGACCTCTCTTCTTCTTCTCCTTTCTTCTTCTTTTATGTTCAATTTGCTATTCTCGGATTACTATTTACAGCCCTCTAAAAGTGCATTTTTCAACCTCAAAACTCCATCTAATTACCCTCAAATCAACCCTAATCCCTTCCCCTACCTATTAGCCTTCAATTTACTCTTGAAGCCATAATTTACTCACTGTTTAGGCCATCAAATAACCTCTGTTTTGAAATTCCAGCGCTGTCCCTATTTGTCCTGCATCAGTTTGGCTCTAACCATGTCTTCTTTATAACGTGCATGTTCAGTTGTTGGACTTTATGTAGTGTACTTGTTGGAAGTATAATATGCTTGGCTATATTTATTTCAGTGGTCTGAAAGGAGGAGGTTTGACATTGCTGGGTTGATGTCCTCTGTTTTAAGAGCTCATTTGCAGGCATATGATCCGATCCTTTCAATGACATTGAGATATTTGATAAGGTTAATCATCAGCTTCTCATTCATCCACTTTCAATGAACATTGATTCTCTGTCTCTCTCTCTCTGTGTGTCTCTCTCTCTCTCAAAAGTCAGAATTATTGTATCATTCTCTGATGTTCTCCCTAAAATGTGCAGCATACATAAAGGATTTTGCTTGCGTCAGGGAATTTCATCACCCATTTCAGATCTTACTGAGAGGTTGCTCCTTGAGGAACGTGACCCCCCTGCAACACCACAGGAAAGTTTGTATGAGGCACCTCCATTTGATGAGGTGAGTCATTTAAAAAAAATCCCATTTCCCGTAGTTGTCACTAAGCAGAACACCACAAGTATTAGCATCTGTGTGGATTGTATTGTAAATTAGTTTAAATTTGTGAGTTTCTTCTGATTTCAGGTGGACATACAAGCCCTTGCACATGCTGTTGAGCTGACAAGACAAGGGGCTGTTGATAGCCTGAGATTTGCTAAGGGGGATTTATCTCAAGCATTTCAGGTTGCCATACTTTTTCAATGTATTATGTTTGTTCTTATATTCTTGGTAATATTTTGGTTGCTCGAAAAAATCTCATCATTTTTCTTTGTAAGGCTCCTTCCTTGTCCATGTCCTATTTTTATTTATTTTATTTTTTAGTTGTTGAAAGTTTCCATGTCAGCATTCCCATATGATAGCATTTTCATATCTGTTCTTCTTAGGCTCACCAAATAGTGGGGTTGTCAACAGGATTCTTAGAATCTCATGACATTTGTTATTTAGGGACGAGCCTATAACCCACTTTTTGATGTAAACATTGTTCAAAGTGGGATGTACAAGTTCGCAGTCCATTTGAGTTATGGACTTGTATGCCTTTGTCTGATATGCTTTCTTTTGTAGAAGTGTTATTGACATCTAGTAAGATTGCTGGCTTTGTACTATAGTTCATGTCATCTTGTACTTGTATGTTACAGAATGAATTATGCCGGATGAGATTGGATGTTTCCATGCTTGATGATCTTGTTCGTGAGTATTGTGTTTATAGGGGTATTGTGGACTCTGTTCTTGCATCCCCTTCTGGTGAACACTTGAACTCTTTCATATTTGAATTCAAGGTTTTTCATAATTTTTATCTATTGATATTTCTTACCAACACAATTTTGATATCTACAGAATCAGGAATCCAAATTATGTCTGGTCCTTTGAAAGTTAATCAACCAGAGCCTGGATATTGTTCATCAAGAAACTGTTCCCTTGAAGTTGAGTGTGCAACCAGTAAACATTCAGATGGTGAAACTTCCATTAGTAATGCTCACATGGATGGTTCTCCTGAAATTAATGGTGATGTGGTGAGCATGGAAGGTATGGACACTGAAGAGCGATACCCTTGTGAGACAAGAAACAATCATGATGACTGTAGCACCAGTGGAACTCAGCATTCTCTAAGTTCAAAGGTGTTGCAAAGAAACAGAAGTCATGGACTTGGGGAAAGGAGCAAACGCAAGCGCTGGAGGGGGAGGCAGGAGAAGCCAAGTCTCATTCCTGAAGTCCTCAGTGGAAGCAGTATGCAAGAGGTTATCACTAGTACCTCACTTGCCAGCACAAGTCTGTTAAAGGAACAACAGGTATCTAGCTGTTGTAATTTGTTAATTTATTTTACCTCTTTATATTATTACCTTGTGATGGATTCTTGTTTAAAAAATTGTTGTTCTGTAGGTTTCTGAATCACATAACGATGTGGATATGGTTAGCAAGGGTGAGGACAAGTATGAGATTGTGCTGGGGTTGAAGGAACTAGCTAGTAGAGGAATGGCTGTGGAGGTTGTGGAAGGAGTAAATGCCATGGACTCAGATTTTTTTGCACAAAATCCTCTTTTGCTATTCCAACTTAAGCAGGTAAATGTGAGCTATAGTATTAGGGGTTGTTTGGGGTGTCCTAAATAAGTATACTTTTTGTCTTTTTGGACTAAAAAATTGAGGAAAAAAATATGGATGTTTTGGGTTAACTTTTTGACTTTTTATGAAAAAATATGTATTAAAAAATTGTAAAAATTGGTTTGTAGGGGAAAATTAAGATTGAGAATTGTGCAGCCGTAATTGTTGACTTTTGGTGAATAGTGTTAACTTTTTAACTTTTTAAGTAACTTTTTGACATTTTGACTTTTTCTTATCTTCCCAAACTTGGCCTTAGTATGCATCGCATGGCAGAAAGACATTGAGGGGAATGAGTTTTTTTTTCTTCCTTTTTCCTAGAGTTTTGGAGAAACATGCACATTCTGACCTTTTTGCTGGCCACAGGTTGAATTTCTGAAACTGGTCAGCTCTGGTGATCATTCTAGTGCACTAAGGGTTGCCTGTTCTCATTTAGGTCCTTTGGCAGCTAGTGATCCAGCTTTGCTGAAGCCCTTGAAGGAGACTTTGTTTGCTTTATTGAGACCTAATGAAGATGCACTTGGGGGAGGCTTGCCCTTGCATGCTCTTGCAACTTCAGCTACCAGAGACTATGCAGTTCCTGTGATTCACAATTAATGTGTACAGCTGTAATCCTATTACTGTCACATATTCACATTACACTCAACATAGTGAATTGGATGATAGTTGCTTCTAAATATTCAGCCTATGAACGTGGGTATTTTGACAAACATGGTGTACCCATACCGGGTACTGGTACTTTGCATGGTTACTTCTGTGGAACATAAACACATGTTTGGTCATGCACAGGTTGCGATTGGTAGGAGGCTTGGTATTGAAGAACCCCAGCTTATGAAGATAATGAGAGCAACCCTTTACACACATAACGAGTGGTTCAAACTCCAAATGTGTAAAGATCGGTTTGAAGGAATTTTAAGGATTGACTCCTTGAAAGAAGTTAGTAGTCCTTTTCTTTCCGATGCTGCTATGAAGTCAAATGCAGATACCTGCACCCATGGATCTTCCCAAATTGCAGTATCTTCAAGCAGTAGGATGCAAGAGGATGGTAACAGTCCCACCCAAGTGTCATCCAGAGAAATCTGTGATGAAAATGCAATACTTAAAGTAATGGTGAGTTCTGCACACGTTTTTTAAAGTTAAAATAGTTTTTTCCTCATGCAACCTCAATGGAACTATGGTATGCTTTCTTTTTATTTTTTAATGTGGCAAGGATATTATATGATTAGTTATTTACCTCGGTTACTTATATCTTGGATTGGTGCAGGAATTCCTTGCTTTGCCGAGGGCGGATGCTATCCATCTTCTTGCACAGTACAATGGAAATGCCGAGACCGTCATCCAGCAGATATTTGCATAGGTTAGTAACGTACACTGTAGCCAAACTGTTTTTATTTATTCATTTTATTCTAATGTTATCCATTTGTGTATAGGTTTTCAATTTAGATATACAAACAATTGTCGGGGAAAATCTGTGATTAAATTATTGGATTGATTTTTATAGTTGTCAGTGCGGATCGATCATCTTTCATGTATTAGTTCTTTGACAATAATCACTGGAAATTAAAAGTAGATTGGGTCTGTATGCGTCCAAGAGCAATTATCACTGTCTAAGGGCCCGTTTGTTTTTAGAGGTAAAATGGAAGGGATTCGTAGTGAGAGAATTGATAGTGAGGGGATTAAGTAAAATTATGTTTGTTTTGATGATAGTTGTTGGTGTAGGAATTGTTAAATTATTTTTATATAAAATAATAAAACAAATAAAAAATACAAAAACATAAACATTAATGTTCAGAAATAAAATAAAATTGCCCAACATGTAAAAAAATAAAAAATAAAATAAAAAAAATAAAACAATGATTTTTACTTAACAAAAAATATAAAAAATTAAACATTAATGTTAAAAAAAAAAAGCCCAACATTTAAAAAATAAAAAAAATACTTCGGCCAACTATTTTCTAATACCAAGTCTCAAGCCTTTTCATAATCCCTTCTCTATCTCTCAAAACAAACATAACATTTATTTTTATTTCACTTCCATATCAATCTCAATCCTCCTTTTATCTCCCAAAACAAAAGGGGCTTGAATGTTAGTTTTGGTGTGCTCCTATTATTAGCAAGCATATGGCTTGTGTAGTGCTATTTTCATATTTAAAACTTTTTTTGTGTGAATATTCATATTTAAAACCTATGTCATCAAAAAATGCTAATAACCTAGCGAATTACATATTAGTATGCATGTTTCGAAACATAGTACACTTCTGTTTCAAAATAGTAAATTCTTTGATCTAAAATGATCTCAAATGTTTTTTTTTTTTTTTTTTCAATGTTTTCCTTAAATGTTACTTTAAGGAAAAAAAAAATCAAATATGTGAACTAAAATTTAAGGTGAGTTAAGTTTTGATAAGATAAAAAATAAAAAATGAGTCATAATTTTTGTAGAAGTAATTTGCTTCATGAATAAATATATATATATATATGTTATTGGATACTTAATAGTTAAAAAAAAATTACTCTAGAAGTAACTTAAATTATATAAGTTCACTTCTATTATATAAGTAACTTAAATTATATATTATTGAATACTTATTAAGTTCACTTCTATTTTAGAGCATGTGCGTACCACCACGTTTCTATCCCTGTTCCATGTACCATAACAATCCACGTCGGGGGTAACACTTTAAAACTAGAGACATGAAGATCTTATAACGGCATGAAACATGGCACTGCAAGTGCTTTGCCAGCCATACGTTGTATTAATCTCGTATGCCATAGAGATGGCAGCTTTGATCAAAGACCACCTTTTTTTTTTGTTGGAACCTTTAAAGAAGACTAACCGCTGAGATTGAACTCATTAAACTCGATCAAGGCGAATCAGGTGCTAGGCCAAGGGTATTAATAGGTCTGTGAAAAGGGGAAAAAGTTTTGATTGTCCAAACATGCCATGAAACCTTGTACTTGACCTTGTTTTGAAAGAGAAAATCTGAAGTTTGAATTAATCAAATCAAAACAAGTCCTCTAAGTGGGAAGCGTTATTAGATGTGTATTATAAGAACTGGTTCATTCTACTTTTGATAAATGAGTTACGTATTTTTCTCCAATACAGTTGTGACAAACAGGTTATCATTGTAAAGAACACAGCAACAACATTATGAAATCTGAAGTAGAAGACATTGGGCAAATTATTAATACCTAAAAGCGCCAGTTATATTAAAGTAATTATTATGTTGGAGTTGAGTCCTATAGTTTCTCATTTGTCATGATCTGGACCTTATGTGATACATATTGGTGCGTTGACTCCCTTCTTCTATATCTTTGGAGATAGATAATTGATATATGACCTATTTGATGTGGAAGATGCCTAATTATTTTAGTATAGGAGGAATATTAGTTGCCTTTGTAATTTGGTTTTTATGTGAATTTGGTTCTTATAATTCTAATTGTATTAATTTTGTTATTTAATTTTTCATATTATGTCAATTTAATTCAATTGATAGCATTGGCTGAGGAATTGGGCAAAAATCACTGGCAAAATAATTGTTTTAAAGGAGCATTATTAACTTGATACAATGTATAAACTTTACATGTAAAATATACAAATAGAACTATAATGAGAAACTAGGAGGATGATGAAAGTGCAATTATATAGTGTGGAAATAGAAAGTTGCGCCATGGTAAGCTCATCATCATCACGATGTTACTCGGATCGGGTCATGTCGGTGTATTTGACTCTCGGAATTTCTTCTCATCTGAAAGCAATTTTGCGAACCTGTAATTATCAAAACAATTATCAATTTTGCTTTGTAATTATCTAAGATTTGAGATTAATAATGACTTTAATCTTTTATATATATAAAAGAGATGTGAGGGAAAATACTTTTTGAGAGCTTCCTCGTTGGTGCCACCATTTACAACAGGTTCATAGCGTCCGGTGTCCATATTTATTCGCGAAACTGGTTTCTTCAACAAATTTTCACCAACTTGTACGAGGTTTTTCATATCGATTGCTTCCCACTTAATGTATCATCCTGAATTCATATACAAGAGGGTGAATTACACTAACGGTCCCTATAGTTTGGGGTTTTTGTTATTTTGGTTCTTGACTTTTCAATTATGATGCATTTGATTCTGAATTTTGAATCTTATTTCAAATAAGGACAATTGAATATACTATTGAATTTTTCAAGAGCAAAATCATAAATTTAATAAAATATAAATTAATTTGACAAAAATAAATGTTAAAAAATTATTTTTAAAATTTTAAAAATTATTTCTACCTGCTAAAGATAAAATTATATAAAATTGATAAGTTTTTTAGACATTTATTTTTTTTTACCCAATTAATTTTCATTATGTAGTTGGATGATGATCATGTAAAATTAATTTTTAAAAATTAATTATGTAATTTTTATTAATTTTTATCAATTTTACATAATTTTATTTTTGGTGGATAGAAATAATTTTTTAAAATTTTAAAATATTTTTTTTGACATTTATTTTTGTGAAATTAGTTTATATTTTATTGAATTGACGATTTTACCCTTGAAATTAAGTAATGGTATGTTAATTGTCCTCATTTGGAACAAGATTCAAAATTCAAGGACTAAAGTGACACAAGCCCTAAACTATATGGATTGTTAGTGTAATTTGCCCTATACAACATATGATAAAAATATCAAGGCATACATCAGATGATTATTGTAAATAATTTTTATATAGAAAATTAATATGAAACGATAGTGATATTTTTACAATTGTGATTCAAAATTATGGCTTATTGATTTTTTATAGGTTATTTTTATATAAAAATTCAAATTACCCAGCTAAAAAACTATAAAACCTGAAATAGTAAACTGCTATTCTCCTCATATGGCGCGATTGATTTTCAACTACCCCTTAAATATTTCCAAAAATAAAGCATCTCTTATTTTTGTAACGTGGTTTCATTTAAACATAAATATTAAATGAGTAGTATAGGGGTGTGATTATTTAACTATTTAAATTTTAAAACCAACGGAAGTGGGTTGGCTTTTTTGTTTTTTGGTTTTTTTGGCTATTTTAGCTTGGGCTTAAAAGTTTGGTTTGGGAAGGGCTTTTGGGCTTTTTGGCTTTTTGGCTTTTTTGAGTTTTTTTGTGAGAGAAGAATGTAATGATTTTGGGTTGGATGTGATGTTTTGTTTGTTATGGCTAAAATAGCCTATTTTGTTTTTTGTGGCTAAAATAGCCAAAAAAACCTGCAAACCTACTTGCCAAACACAGGCAAAATGGGTTTTCTAAATAATTAAAAAAAAAAAAACCCACTCAAGCATGCTCATGAATATTATTCATAAAATTAAGGGTTAATTACACTAATAGTCCCTATAGTTTGGGACTTATGTCACTTTGGTCCCTCACTTTTTAATTGTGACACATTTGATCCAAAATTTTGAATGTTGTTCCAAATAAGGACAATTGAAAATATCATTAGATTTTTTAAGGGTAAAATCGTCAATTTGATAAAATATAAACTAATTTGACAAAAATAAATGACAAACAAATAATTTTTAATTTTTAAAAAATTATTTTTATCCACCAATGATAAAATTATGTAAAATTAATAAAAATTACATGATTAATTTTTTAAAATTAATTTTACATGATCATCATCTAAATACATAATAAAAATTAATTTGGTAAAAATTGTAAATAAATGTCTAAAAGATTTATCAATTTTACATAATTTTATTTTTAGTGGGTGGAAATAATTTTTAAAAAATAAAAAATATTTGTTTGACATTTATTTTTGTCAAATTAATTTATTTTATATTAAATTGACAATTTTATCCTTATTTGGAACAAGATTCAAAATTCAGGGTCAAATGTGTGACAATTGAAAAGTCAAGGACCAAAGTGATACAAGCCCCAAACTATAGGGACTATTTATGTAATTTGCCCTAAAATTAAACTGTGTTAGTCTTTACGTAATTTTGAACAAACAATACAGTTATTTTAAAATGAAATGTTATAGTGTATTTCAAATATTTTATCAAATATTTTACCAAACTTTTCACATGAAGTGGGATTTTCACAAATTCACATGTGTGTGAGTCCACATCTAAGTGAGAGATTTGATAAAATATTTAATAGAATATTTAAGATCCCTAATAATCTGGAGAGGACAATGGGATCCATAATTTTTAATTATCTCTAAGTATGATTACTTTTAAAAAAACACCTATATCAATAAAAAGACGTGAGTAATGAACGCTTACTTGGATACGAAGGTAGTTGTAGACGTCCCCGAACGCCCCAGGAGGAACGAGTCCCCCGTTCCGTTCGATATTGGGCTCACTACAGTTCGGACTCTCAATTTGTCACGGTTCTAAATCTGAACCAAAAAGTCCAAATCCGACAAATCATTTTGAGAAAATAGATTTTTTTGAAAGAAGTGCCAAACATGGACTGCTTTGCCAGATACAGAGTCGCCATCTAAATATTTTATTTTGGAGAATTTAGGAAACCCTGACTCATGCCTAAGGCCACGTGTCCGTCATCACCAAAGTTGCCTCGGCTCGGGAACTTGGGTACGACTGGGGAAGGTC